GCACCACATCCGTGATGAGCCAGGCAGCTGAGTCATGCTCTCCCTCCCATTAAAAAGCAGCAGAGAGCTGAATGAGGGAAGGAACAGTTCCAAATTCCACATACCGTGGCCTCGGGGTGAGGCATCGCTGATGGGAAGGCAGGCACTGCATACAAAGGAGCAAGAACCTTCAGTGAGCGCACTCCTGGGAAGAAACAGGAATGAGAACAGCCTGAAGTGAGACCCTCTGCAAAGAATCACAGTCATGGAATGATCTGGCTTGGAAGGGACCTTAAAGATCACCTTGTTCCAGCCCCCTGCCATGGGCAGGGACACCTTACATGAGGCAAAGTCATGGTTCTGAATTTTGATTTCATTCTGAATGAATTCTGAATGCTGAGCTACTTGCTCTCCCCCTGAGTCAGATTTTGCAGAGCTGTAAAATCCTGGCACTTTGAAGGTTACTTTGTCCAAAGGAGATAAATTCAGGGGTCCATAAGCAGAGCTCAGAAAGTGCCAGGGAGCAAGGAGTGGTCATGGAGAGTGTAAAACTCAATGCTGTACCTTGCAGCAGAGGTAGAAGGTCCACCACAGCTTGGGCAAGAGGAGTGACTTTCTCTGTTTTTTTCTTCTCCTTTGCTGCCACTTCTAGCAGTGTCACTAGGGAGATATAAAGAGAAGAGCTGGCAGAATTCCTTGAACCAGCAGGTCAGGCACCAGGGAGGCTCTGTGCAAGCTCTGGCACAAGCTTCTCTTCACCTCCCAAGGCTGACAAGCACAGCAAAGCCAAAGGAGCACGGGCCAACATGAAAGAGGATTCTTCCAGCTGGCAGAGATGGACAAGAAGTGCTGAGAGCCTCCCACCACTGCTGCTGAAGTGCTATTCCTGAACCAGTGACTCCTGCAGCAACAGCACCCCACTCCAAGGTGGGAGATCTGGCACCAGCTACTTACAGAGCAGTGGTTTCTGCACAAGGACATCCAAGGAGTTGGGCCCATCGGGGCTGTACTCAAAGCTGGTGCTGAAGTCATATTCTGCTGTCCCATCTGGCAGCACATTAGTCTTGGAGGACTCTCCCAGGACTGCTCCGTTGTACTCCACACGCACCACTGTATGCAGCAAGCTGCTTTTGAGAGTTTTCTGTCATAAAAAAAAACAGCTCAGAGAGCAGCTGGCTCTGCAGCAGCATCCCAGGATCAGAGCTCCTCTGGCAGCAGCTCAGGACAGGGCTCACTTGTGGGAGTCTGCTCCAGCACAGGAATGGGGAAGGGGAGCAGAGCTTGGCCACACTGAGACCTCACTATTCCCTGTCTTTAGGAGGGAAATTTCCTGTTGCACCATGCTGTGATGCCCTAAAGATTATCAGGAGCTGTGGCAAGGGAGATAGAGAGGTTCAGGCTTCACCTCAGGAAAGACACATCTAAAACAAATCCCAAAATACTCGACTGATATTTTTGTACTTCCAGGAAGCTTGAAACCTTTGCTGTCTCCTAAGAAAGCAGCTCCTGAGCTACAGGGATGAGCTCACAGAGCACCTGTGGATGTGTGGTGCAGAATGTCCTGAAATGGACAAGAGAAAACAGACTCAGGTTGTGCCAGGGGAGGTTTAGTTTGGATATTAGGGAAAATCTCTCCACTGTAAGGGTGGTCAGGCACTGGCACAGGTTCCCCAGGGCAGTGGGGGAGTTCCCATTCCTGCAAGTGTTCAAAAGACACGTGCAGGTACTTGGGAACATGCTTTAGTGGTGTCCTTGGCAGTGCTGGGTTAAAGGTTGGACCTGATGGTCTCAGAAGCCTTTTCCAACCCAAAGGATTCCATGATTCTGTGAAATCAAAGGAAGGGCTCCAGCAAGCTCTTAGGGAGCTCTGCAATTTGTTGTTACACCACCTTCATACCAATTGCTTTAACCAGAGATGAGGAGATTCAGATTTTACTTTGAATTTCAAATGTCTGAACAGAGGGGCTTAAACAGAGCTGGAGAGGGACAGTGAGGGCACAGCACATGGCAGTGGGGACCCACAGGGCACCTCCAGAGCACAGGAAGTGCTGGGCAGCAGGTACCAAAAGGCTCCCTGCAGCAGAAACACAGTTTAGCTCTCAATCCACGGAGAAGTGGCTGAACACAGGGACCATTGTACCCAAGCCCAGCTTTTCCTTAGTGCTGAGCCACAGGGATGCCTACCCCGCCCTCAGCTCCCTCTCTCCCTGTCACTGGAGTAATTAGTTCCATGCTGGTTCTTACACAAAAAGAGATCTCTTTCACTTGGTTTTAATTTTCAGCCCTTCTCACTGTCTCTTTGAGCATACATCCTCTGAATGGCTAAACAGAAGAATCCAATTAACCTTTCCCTGTACCATTAATTATCCAAGACTCCTCTCTCATCCTTCTCTACATTGCCTCTAATTAAGCAGATTCCACACTTATGGCTAGAAGTGGATTCCACATTCTTACAGCCGGGCTTTTTTTCATACTGTTGCTGTGATTATTGCCCTTTTGTAACCCCATCTCCCTTTTGTACAGCCCTTTCTCACGGTGGAGCAATCAGAACCACAAAGCAACATTCCAGATGCAATCAATCCAGCAGTCTTTTCTTCCCAGCACTGTTTATCCTCCTCTCACCTCATACCTCACCTAAGCTGCTGTTTGCTGAATCCATCACTGTAAGAGGTACTTCAATACTACAATGTGAAAGCCTCAAGCAGGTGCTTTTGGATTGCTTTTTCTGTCTGCTGCTGGAGCAGAAGCAGGGATTTGCATTTTTTCTGCTTGCAGCAGGAGCTGAGCTTCTCCTCCACATTCCCTCCCCAAATGCCAGTTCCTCTGGAAGACTTTAAGGACAGCTGGGTGCATCACATGGAAATCACAGCAGCAGTGGTTTGATTGGCACCAGCTCACAGCCTTGAACTGGATCCACTGCCTTTTTAAAACCAGAGCCACCCTATTGCTTTCAATATGATTTAAACAGCTGGAGCTGGGAGGAAATCTGGCTTTACACCCAAGGTGAGGTCCTTTCACGGGTTTTTGTCTCACTGATCACATTTTTGCTGTGCTCTGCTTTAAAACCCTGCCATTTCCACACAGTTAGAGGAGGCAGAGAGGTCCATTTCCCCCCAGTATGTCTGGCCTGCTGCTAGGGAGATGTATTCCCCAATTTATGCGCCTCATAAGATTTTTTCCCCTGTGTGAACGCCTCAGCAGGGAGGAGGAAGCCACGGTGTGGCATTGCTGAACCTCTGATACTCCCACCACTCCTTCCTTCAGCCTTGTCACCCCCTGCCTGCTCTCACAGGGGATCCCTGTGCACACAGAATTGCTCTGGCCTTGTTTATTAAATTAGCAGAGATATTTTCAGAACTTTACCAGGTCCTGAGCATTCCCGACTGTGATCTGTACTGGTATTGGCTGTGACATACTGGGAAGAGCTGCAGCAGCAGGTTCCTTCCCACCAGCCAGCCCCGCAGGGACCTCCACGGCTCTGCAGGAGAAAGAATGAGGAAAGAAACATGAAACTGCTCCATTCCTCTCCCAGATACCTCTGCAGGACACAGCAGTGCGGGCTGCAAGCGCTATTCAGGGCTTGGCTGTCAAAACACCATTGAATGCACAGGGCTTTGGCAGTGACGAATCTCTCACGAGGTGCAGGGGGAGGACTGGGAAAAATGCAATGTGAAAATTATCCATCTCTGTAAGCTTCACCCAGCTGCTGCTGCCAGGGAAGGTTTGTTGTGCCAGGCTGCTCTCAGCTCCCAGCACATCCCTGGCTCTCTTTTACTCCCTTTTTAAGTTCATGGTGATCCCATGGGCCAAGGGCTGGCGGCCACCAGCCGTCCCCTCACGGCTCCCAAATGCCGGGGGGAGCTGGCTCCTTCCTGGTTCCTTTTGCTCCTCGGGTTGGTGAATCGCTCAGGATTCCCCAGGGCTCCCCAGGGACCCCACGGCCGCCTCGCCTCATGCCCCCAGGGCCTGGCAGCCCCTCAGGGCAGCACTGGGGGGCTCGGGGCTCCCCTCACCCTGCTGTGGGCCTGCGGCCCCTCACCCACCCGGGGGTCTGCAGCAGCCCCTCACGCACGGGCCTGCCGGTTCTCCTGCCCCAGAGCGGTCCCGAGCCCCTCACAACAGCCCCGGGGGTTTTCCCCGCCTGGGGGGCACCGACACCCCCGAGCCGCGGGCCTAGGCGCTCTGCAGCCCCTCACCCACGGGCCTGGAAGCTCTCCTGCCGCAGAACGGTCCTGCAGCCCCTCACCGACAGCTCTGGAGGCCCTCCCGCCCTGGGGGGATGCTGCAGCCCCTCACCGGGAGCCTGCCGAGGCACCGTGCGGCGGCGGGGCTCGAACCCACGGCTTCCCCGAGCCGGCGGAGGGCTCGCGTCCCGTCACCACAGCGACGCGGCGGCTCCCGCAGGCCCCCGAAACCTCGCGGGACCCCGGCCCAGCCCCGCGCGCTGGGGGCGTGCCCGTGAGGCCGCGGCCGCCGCCATGATGGGTGTGGGCAGCCCTCGGCAGCCCCGCTGGGGCGGGGGTCCCCCCGCGCCTCCCGAGTGAGCTGGCGGTGCTGACGGCCCCCGTGTCCGCCTTTGCAGCCTGCTGTGCCCGGCTGCTGCCAGAGCGCACCGCTGGCCTCCGCCCCGGCTGGCACAGGCCGCGGTGCCCACCCAGGCGCTCCCTCGCACCCCGCTGGGGGCCCTGAGGCGGTGGGTGCCCGCAGCCCGGGCTGGGCTGGGTCCCTGTGGCGGGGCAATGACTTGGTGTCCCTGTGCTCACAAAGGGCTCCCAGGGCTTTGGGCAGCCCCCCGAGCTCCCCGCAGGTTCGCAGTGTGGGACGCTGCGGGGTTTTGGGGCACCCCACTGCCACCATCGCGGCTTTTGGGGCGGGAGCCGGACCCCCGGAGCGGGTTGGCCGGTTCCCGGGGAGGGGATGCCCAGAATAGCTCCGCTATCTGATTCCGAGGGGCCGCGGCCGGCTGCGCCGCCGGCTCCCGGGGGCTGACATTTGAGCCCAGCCGCGGTCGGGACGGGACGGGACCGCCCGGGCTCTCGGGGCACCGCCGGGACAGGAGCGGGATGGCGGGCGGCAGGCGCCGTGCGGGTGGCGGGCGGCGCGGGGGGCCCCGGCAGCACCCCGGCACCCCCGGGCCGGCCTCCCCGCCCGCACCGCTCCCTCCTGCAGCCGCCCCGGCCCGGCCGAACGCGGGTGCTACCCCCAAAAGCGGCCGCTCCAAGAAGGCCCCGGAGGAGCCAGCGGCGAGGGCTCCAGACGTGGACTCGCTGGGCTTTCAGGCCATGGACCGCAACGTGCCGGGGCTGTCGCACGTCATCCTGCAGAAGCTCAACATGAAGAGCTATGAGGACTACAAGTGAGTGAGCACCCATGGGTGCCTATTCCCCACCCTCTCCCCCGGGAAGAGCATCCCATGTGTCCCCCAGCAGCTGGAGCAGCTCCCGTGGCTCATCCCACCCTCCCCGGCTCAGCCCACCGGGAGCTCTGATGGGCTCCTGGGTGGGCCCCTCTAGAGTGCCTGGCTCCCTGTCCCCACCCAGGCCAGGATGCTCCTGGCTGGAGCTAAAAATCTTGGCAGCCTCAGAGGATATCAGCCCCACCCTTGTGGCAACAGGCTGGATTCTGCTCACCCTCTGACATCTGCAGGTCTGCCATGGATGGGAGGAAGAGCGGCAGCGATTTCGGCATCCGGACGTATTTTGACATGTTCCAGAAGATGGAGGACACCTTCAAGTTTTGTGTTGAGTGCAAGAAGCTCCCCGATGCCCTCCCGGACCCCAAAAGCCTCCGGCGTTGCAAGAGGTATGGTGGGGAGATGGTCTGATGGCACAAGGATGGATCCATCCCTCACTTCCAGCCTGGTGGCTGGGGTGAAGTGAGGGGTGTCTGACCCCAGTGCCCACCTCCAGCCACTGGGCACCCCTAGGAGCAGTGACACAGCCCTGGGAGGGGGTGGCAGGGAACCAGGCTCGGTGGGCTGGATTGTGCCCTCCCTCCCCGTGGCTGGGCATGCTGCCTGTCTGCCCAGGTGCCAAAATGTGTACTACTGCGGCGTGGCGTGCCAGCGTGCCAACTGGCCACTGCACAAGAAGTTCTGCAAGAAGCTGAAGCTGGTGGCCCTGGACCGGCTGGTGGAGTGGCTCATCTTCACAGGTGAGGCATGTGTCCCCCTGGGATCCCCATCCTGGGCTGCACAGGTCCGTGGTGGGATGTGGTGTCCATTCTCCAGCCCCACTCCCCCAGCACAGGTGGGACGGGCAGCCTGGGCCGTGGCACCACCACTGTACCCTCCAACCGCCTCGTGACCCCCCAGGAGACATCCCATTTCCCACGGACGCCTGGACAAAGCCTGCTCGGGACGTGAAGGGCTGGGAGGACTGGTTCTCCATGCAGGAGCAGCTGGAGGAGAAGCTGGGTGCCATCGTGGCGGGGCGGTACATGACCCTGCTGTGGGCCAACGCCGGGAAGCCGCGGCCGGAGGACGCGGAGCTGCGGGAGTCCATCCGGCGCCTGGTCACCGACTTCCACTCGCGGCCGCTCACCATCGGCCTGGCACTGCGGCTGTTTGGCATCGACCCCCTCACCAGGCCCCTCACCGTGCACGTGGTGGGGGCTTCCCACGTGGAGACCCTCAACACGCGGCTGACGGACTACGACGAGCTGACGCGGATGTTCCCGGGGCACCAGGGCGTGGAGATGGTGATGGTGGGGGTGGACGTGGTGGACGGACCCATCATGAGGCCACCCCTGACCACGCTGGCACCCCGGGGAAAAGTCTATCTCAGCAGCTACAAGGGGCTCTACCACGACTTCTGGGAAAGCCACGTGGAGACCAAGCTGGCCGCCCCTCCTGACCTGGTGGTGGGCTTTCACCCGGGTGAGTGCCTGTGCCATGGAGGGGTTGGACCCTCACACCCTGCTGCAGGGATAGGGACATCCACAGGGCGCATGGGCTCAAGGACCACCCTGAGCACCCTGGCAGCACCTGTGGCTGGGCCTGAAGGTGGCCTGGGACATACTCAGGGCTTTGCACCAAGGCACATCAGGCAGCTGGGGGGACCCCCTGGGACATGGCTGCCTTGTCTCCCCACCAGGCACTCTGTCTCCAGCCTGTGTCACCCACCTGCAGGTGAAACGGATCCTTCCCTTCAGGTCTCAGTGCTGTGGCTTAGCCCAGGACCCAGAGTTTGGGGTGCCCCACATGCTGGTGGGGAGCCAAACCCACCTTGCTGCGGGCTGCCAAACTCACTGCATGCTTGGGGTGTCCAGCACAGAGTGGATGCAGTTGGAGCCGGCTTTCCCCAGGGCCAGGGTGGGATGGGAAAGCGGTGGAACCCTCATGGCTGTGTCCCCACAGGTTTCCATGCCTGCCCAGACCTGCTGGCGGGCTGGCTGCCCACCCTGCTGCTGCTGCGGGACTATGGCCTGCCTGTGCTCTTCACCGTGTACAGGTGAGCACAGCCCCAGCGCCCCGGTGAGCCCGCACAGACACCCAGTCACCGTGCCTGTCCTCTCTTCTGCCAGTGAGCAGGAGCTGAAGGCCTCCCTGCAGATCCTTGTGGAGCTCGAGATGCACATTGTGGGTTATGCCAGCAACCCCTTTGCCTCGCTGCGGCCCGAGCAGGTCTATTCGAGCCCCAACAAGCCGCCTGTCTACTGCAGCTCCCACTACATCGCCCTGCTGGGAGCAGAGGCTGTGCCGGGGGCTGCGGAGCTGGAGGATGATGATGGCTGGAAGGGAGGAGAGCCCAGTGCCGCTGCTGTGGCTGGGGACATTGTCCCACGGCTGGGCTGATCCTGCCTGCCCTGACCACCTGACCCCCAGAGGCTTGCTGCCCATCCAGGACCCCATCTCCACAGCCTGGGATTAGCGACCCAGAAATCCCTCACTGCACACATGGAGGCGTGGGGGATACAGCACCCTTCCACAGCACCAAATAAATCACTATCAGCAACCAGCTGCCGTGTCTCGAGCTTTATTTCCGAAAAGGCCTTTGTTTTCCTAAAGAAAACGAGGGGCTGAGCGCGCCCCAGCCCCCCTCGAGCAGCCACGGCCTCTGGAGGGACAGTGAAGGGGACCCTGACTGCAGGATCAGCGGTGCACAGGGCTGTGCAGCCCCTTGGGGTCCGGTGGGGAGCCCCAGCCCAGCGCTTGGCTGTCACTGTCACTGTCACCCTCACTGTTCCCCCACGCTGGTGCCTACCCTGCAGGGCACTGCTCCAGCCTGGCACCGGCCACCAGCCCGGCCACGGCAAACGGGCGCCAGCTGGCACCTCCCCGCTGCTCGCCAGCCTCGGTGGCCCTTGCGGACACCGGGGCGGGTGGAGTCGAGGGAAGCAGCTCCCGCGGCATCGCCCGACGCTGCCGGGGACCCGCGCTGGCCTGGCGTCCCCTCCTGGTGCAGCCAGCGGGTCTGGCACGGCAGTGGTGGCCCTGACCCCTGTGGGCACCCTCGGTGGCTCAGGGAGGCCAGCACACCCCAGGGCTGCCAGCGCCCTGACAGCGGGTCCGGGTCGCTCCCTGGGCTCCGCGCCTGTCGGGGGCCGGGTGGGCAGAGCTGGCACAGTCCGGCACGGAGCGGCACTGCCCGCGTCACTCGGCGCCAGCGCGTTCCCGCAGCGCGGGCAGCGTCAGCGTCTCCGGGGCCGACTTCTTCCGCGGGCGACTCTTGGGGGGAGCCAGGAACTCGGGGGCCTCGTCGCTGAGGGGAGTGGAGGGGGCGCTGGCAGGGGCCGAGTGCGTGGCCGTGGGCTGCCCCACCTCGCTGACCGAGATGGCCGGTGCCACCAGGCCGATGAGCTCGTTGGTGGCCTCCTGCGTCTCCTGCTCGTAGCGCCGCACCTCCTCCATCGTCATCCCTGCCGAGCACAGCCGGGCTTGGGGCCGCTCGGCACGGCCGCCCCCTCATCCCGGGCAGCCCCCGCCCCGGCTCCCCACCGAGCTGGGGGACAGGAAGGGGACAGGGACTGGGGACAGGGAAGGGGATGCTGGGCAGCACAGCCAGCTCCCCAACTCCAGCGCCAGCCCAGACAGCAGACGGGAAGGGATGAACAGGCAGCGCAGGCAGGGGACACGCAGGGAGGGCAGCTGGGAGGGGGGACACTCCACCGCGGGGTGCAGGAGGGGCACAAGCCCCCTGCCTGCACCCACTCCCAGGCAGCAAGGTGGGGTCCGGGGTGTCTGTCCCCGGCAGGCAGAGGGGCTTAGGGGTGCTGGCTCCCCAGCTTTTGGTTTGTGGCCACTTGCATCTGACTCTCGAAGGCCCGGACCTCTTCCAGGGACATGTCTGGAAGGCAGAGAGCCACTCACCGGGATGGCCTGGCACCCGCCACCAGCTGTCACCAAACCCGGGGCTCCCGTCCCTGTGCCCGCATGTGGCAGTCACCTGCAGCGTATGTCCCTGCCAGAATGGGGGTGCAGGCAGCGCAGGCGGGGTGCTGGGACCCCTCTGCCCATCCTCCCCGAGGGGTGCAGGGGAGCATGCAGCATGCAGGGTGCAGGCAGGGGTGAGCTGGAAGCACAGGCAGTGCAGGCAATGCAAGCAGTGAAGGCAGTGCAGGCAGGACATGCAGTGCAGGCAATGCAGGCAGTGCAGGCAGCACAGGCAGTGAAGACAATTCAGGCAATGCAGGCAGTGCAGGCAATGCAGGCGGGGCTGGCAGCAGCATAGGCAGAGGAAGAGCTGGAGCTGCGGTGGGGTCAGTGGCACCAGCAGTCTGACCTGCAGCCCTCCCTCCATGGGCACCGTGTGCCCCCTCCCCACCGTGTGCCCCCCGGACTCACCACACCACTCGTCCACCCAGGCGAAAGCCTGCCGGTGCCCGATCAGCAGGATGTCCCGGATCACCTGCAACACCACGGGGATCAGCACCCTGTCACTGCCCCCCAGTGCCCCCCAAGCCCCCTTGGGCCCCCCTCACCTTGTGCACAAACTGCTCCACCCGCGTCTGCAGCCCCCACACCTCAAACTTGACGCTCACCAGTTTGTAGGAGCACATGATGGGCTTGGTGTGCTGGCGCCAGCCCTCCCGCAGCGGCCCCCGGCCCGTCTTGGCCGAGCTGAAGAAACGGGGGTCCTGAGGTGATGGGGGACATGGGGGTCATGAGTCCTGCCTTGGGACAGGAGACAAGGGGGTGGCTCCAGGGAGCCCCCTCGTCCCCAGCCCAGGTACCTCCAGGCTGCGGTAGTAGCGCTCAGGGATCTCATCGAAGGCGATGTCCAGGAAAGAGACCTCGTGGTCACCCAGGATTTTGTCACTGTGGAAGATCTGGGGAGGGGAGGATGGGTGAGTGACCCAGGGACCACAAGTCACGAGCTGATGAGTTTGCCAGCTCTCAGCTGCACTGCACACTCACATTCTCGCTGTCCCCACAGTTGTCCTCGTACTTGGTCTCGATGTAGATGGAGAACTTGGGCAGGAAGGAGCACTGCAGGGAGTGGCTGTCAGCTGCTCCCCGAGGGACACCACTCCCAGGGATGCCCACCCTGAGGGACATCCCACCCCGAGGGACACTTCATGCCCAAGGATGCCCATCCCCAAGAGGTGTGCAGTCCAGGGACACTGATCCTGAGGGACACCCATCCAAAGGACACCCAGCCTTGAGGGACACCCACCTCCAAGGATGGTCATCCTCAAGGAACCCCCAGCCACAAGGACACCCTCTCCAGGGGACTCCCACCCCCAAGGAAATCTGAGCCCCAGGGGACACCCACCCTGAGGGATGCCCAGCCCTAAGGACACCCACCCAAGGGCCACCGCCCATGGTGACACCCACCCTGAGGGACACCCACCCCTAAAGGATGTCCATCCCAAAGGACACCCACCCCCAAAAATGCCCCCCCAGCGCCCTCTCCCAGGCCACCTGCTGCAGGAGGGGACAGCTCATCCCATGGCAGCTCCTTACCGTGTACTCTGCAGGGACACCAGGGCACAGCGGCATCGCAGGGTGGCATTACAGGGGAGAGAGGGAGCAGTGAGACCAGGGACAGCTCCTGCAGCCCCCGCAGTGGGCAGGGGCGGGGTGCCCAGGGTGCCCGGCCCACGCCCTGCCCGGGGCTCACCCGTGATGGTGTAGGGGTAGTAGTTCCAGGCCTTCTCGGTGATGTAGAAGATGCGGGGGGTCACCGCCCGTGCCCAGCTCGGCAGTTTGCTGTGGGCACCGTGTCAGGGGACCCCCTCAGACAGGACATGGCTGGTGCCACCCAGCCCTACACTGCCAAACACAGCCTGGCTCTGGGACCCCCATTCCCACCCCAGGAACCCCACCTGTTACCTGGCACCCTCACCTCCACACCAGGGACCCTCACCTGCTCCTCAGGACCCTCATCTGCATCCCAGCACCTCTCCCAGGAGCTACTGCCACCTCCCCAGCATCTCCATCTGCATTTCAGCACTGTCCTGTGCACCTCAGGACACCCCCAGGGACCCCTGTCACCTCCCCAGGACCCTCACCCCTGCCCCAGCTCCTCACCATTCACCCTCACCTCCACTCCAGGATGCCCTCACCTGCACCTCAGAACACCCCCAAGGAGCCCTGTTACCTCCCCAGGACCCTCCTTTACACCCCTGGATCATCATCTGCACCTCATGACACCCTCAGGGACCCCTGTTGCCTCCCCAGGACCCTCCCCAGTGCCCCAGCCTTCTCCCACCAGAGACCCCTGCCACCTCCCCAGCACCTTCATCTGCACACCAGGACACCCCAGGGATCTGTGCCAGCTCCTCATCTCCACCCCAGTGCCCTTCAGGTTCCCCCCTCCTCCCCAGACACCCTGACCCCCACCCCAAGAAACACCCACCCTCCATCCCGGACCCTCTCCCCTTCCCCAGGACCCCTCCACCTCCCCAGGGCCGAGCCCCCCAGGTGCTCCTGTCCCCCCCAGCACCCCGGCAGGATCGGGCCCCCTGGGGAGGCAGGAGGTGGGTTTTGATTAATTTTCAGGCGTTATAAATAAATTTCAGGCGAGAGGGGAATCGTGAGTGCTGCAGCTAAAAATAACCTGTCTCACACCAGCAGCTCCTGGTGGGGAGCAGCCCGTGTCCGCAGGCAGCTGAGGGGACGTGGGGACAGTGCTGCTGGGGGCCAGCCACTGCCCCACGGTGGCACCCCCAGGGCCAGGGCATTGCCAAGCCCCCGATCAGGCACCCAGAGGTGGGTGCCCACCAGGCAGGGGGGTGCAAGTCCTGGGGTGGGGGCACCCCATGAGAAGCGGGCAACCCCCAAAGAGGGGGTGAAGCCCTAGGATGGGTACACCCTGGGGCATGGCTCTCAAAGATGGGTGCAGTTCCTGGCACCCCCGGAGATGGGTGCAGCCCCCCAGGATCAGAGCAGCCCCGGAGATGGGTGCATCCTGAGAGATAAGGGCAGCTCCCAAAGCTGGATGCACACCCCAAAGATGGGTGCACCCCAGGACCTGAGGACCTCACTGGGGGACACACACACAGCCCTTGAAGATGGGTGGGTGCCTGGGAGATGGGTGCAGCCCCCAAGATCAGTGCACCCCAGGAGATGGGGGCACCCCCGGGAAATGATGGGGGGAGCCCTGGGAATCAGCACTCAGCAGCGTGCCCAGGACCCAGGAAGGAGGTTCCCCAGGAATTTTGGAGGAAGAGCTGGGGTCACCCAGCTGCCTGCCCGTGCCCCACCCCGCAGTGCCGCCCAGCAGCCACCACGGGCTCACCTGGAGAGGTGGACACGCTTCTCAGTGAACTGGCCGGGGCCGTGCACGGGGTCCTCGTGGGGCTCGTTCTTCACCACCTCCACGCCCTCGCCCTTCTCGCTCTCCTGGTGGCTGTGCTTGCTGATGGTGTAGAGCTGCCCCACGCGGTACTGCAAGCACAGAGCCCGCCCTCAGTGCCACCGGCCCCGCTGACCGCCCAGCACAGCCTGAGCCACGCTGCCGAGAGGGGAAACTGAGGCACGGAGCAAGGGGTGGCAGAGCCTGAGCCGTGCAGCGGGCAGGGGGTTCCAGGGGCACCCTGTGTGACCTCCCATATCCCTAGGCTGTCCCAGCTCCCAGGCAAGGGCTGGATCCTGCTCTCCCTGTGCTCTCCCAGTGCCTTGCAGAATTCCTGGAGGTTTTCTGCTTGGCAAACTACCTGGGAGCCAGGGGAAAATGTCTGTATGATATAATCTCTATGATCTATCTGGATGTGACTGTGTCAGGTATATAACCATGAGGGTGTAGATGTGTGTTTGGGGGTGCAGCTGTGCAGCGGGGGCTGGACTGTTCTGCTGAAGATCCCATCCACCACTGCAATCGCCAGCAGGATTTTACCACCCTGCTCTGATTAAATGAAAACCTTCCCCGGGTGCCTCCAAGGAGGGACAGCACTTCCCGGGGTGGGCACCACACCAAACGCAGGCACCAGGGAGAGACCTTTGCCCAGGGATGCTGCCAGCTGTCAGCGCTGTTTGCCGATGGCATTCAGGCTCCCTGCCGGAGCAGGGATGGAGTTTATGGTCACGGGCATCCCAACCCCGGTGCCCTCCGCTGCTGGTCCATCCCCTGTTCCCGCTGTGCCCCGGTGCTGCCGTCGGGCTCAGTGCCCCGAGCTCGCCGTGCCCAGGGACAGGCTGTCCCCCCACCCGCACCCCAAAGCACGGCTCGGCCCTGGCACAGAACATCCCGAGCCATCCCCATCGCTGCCACGAGCCGTGCCACGAGGAGACAGCAAGGGGTCACTGCGTCCCTCCCAGGGCAGGAACCGATCCCCTGGGCATGAGACCCGCACCCACGCCCCTCGGTGGGGGTGTCCGTGCCCGCCCCCGCCCCGCGGGCCCCGCTCACCTCCTCGGTGGTGAGCGGCATGCAGATGCGGTACTCCTTGACGAGCATGGTGACACCTCGGGCGGGGTGACACCTCGGGCGGGGTGACACCTGGGGCGGGGTGAGGCGGGCACGGCGGGCAGGACGGGGGTCAGGCGGAGGCGTGGGCGCTGCCGGGGACGCGGCTCATGCTGGGGGCGGCGGGCAGCGGGCGGGGGGCGCGGCGCTGCCTCCCACGCTCCGTCCCAGCACCCCCAGCCCGAGGCAGCCGCCCCGCTGGCGGTGACTTCACGAGCCGTTGCCATGGCAGTGGCGTGAGGTCACCCGTGCGAGGAGCGGCCTGGGTGTACCCAGCTGGGGACACCCCGGCACCCCAAAACCTGCCGCCGTTAACCCCTGCCCTGCCAGGCAGGCAAACGCGTCCCCTTGGAGCGCACGTGTCCCCCCAGAATAGGGTGCCCTCCCTCCGGGGTGCCGCATCCCCACCCAGCTGCGGTGGCCAGTGCGGCAAGAGGGCTGTAGGGACATGAGGATGGGGTCACACTTGCCCGGTGCTCCCGGGGACCCACCTCTGGGCACCCACACTGTCCTGTCCTGAGGGGCGCTCCCCGGGAGCAGAGGATCATGTCCCTGAGGGAGAACACCCCTTCCCTGGGCAGGAGCTGGATCCCCTTCCCCGAGGCTTCCCCCAGCACCTGTCCCAGCCAGCGCCCACCCCGGGGCGGCTCCCCAGCACCCACCACACCCATGGCACTGCCAGGCTGTGACACTGCCTCCCCTCTCCAGCCAGGGCTGGGGATGCTCAGTGTGAGTGTCAGGACAGCTCAGGGGGCTCCTGGATGTGCCCCCCAGCCCCACAGGGAAGGGAGAGCATGCGGGCCCTCCTGAAAGTCACTCCGGCTGGGGGGGTCAGGCCTTGGAAGGGCAGATGGGGGCTCACATGGGATTTTGCCTGGAGGCAACTTGTCCAGCTGGGGACACAGGGACATCCTTGGGGGTACAGGGTCATAGCGGGACACAAGGGCATCTTTGGGGGCACCGGGGGACACAGCAGTGTCCCTGGGGCCACAAAGCCATTTGAGGCTACAGGGGCATCCCTGGGGGACTCAGGGGACACCCTGCTGACGGGGCAGAGGGCTGGGTGCTAGTGCCAGGTGCAGGAACCCCAACACCGCGGGCAGAGGCAGCCCCGGCAAACGGGAGGGGACAGCCCGGGGACTCACCGGAGCACTGCAGGGCACGGCATTCCCCTCCCCATCCCGGCAGCTCAGACGGCCCCCGCCGGCTGGAAAAGGAGGAGCCCCCCGGCCGGGCTCAGCCGCCCCTTCCCCACCGCTGTCCGCGGCCGCATCCCCCCGGGCCGGGCCCCGCCGCCCCCAGACGGCCCCCGCCGGCTGGAAAAGGAGGAGCCCCCCGGCCGGGCTCAGCCGCCCCTTCCCCACCGCTGTCCGCGGCCGCATCCCCCCGGGCCGGGCCCCGCTCCCACCGCCGCCGCCGCCGCCGCCGTGCCCCGGCCGTCCCGGGCCGTGCGCAGGAGCGAGCCGCCCCCCGCACCGCCTCCCGCGCCGCGGCACACCGACCCCTAGGGGGAGGAATGCACCGGCACCGCACCGGCACCGCACCGGCACCGCACCGGCACCGCACCTGGAGCGGCGCCGCACCGCACCGGCACCGGCACCGGCACCGCACCGCAGCGACAGCGACACCGGCACCACGGCACCGTGAGACCCTCTAGCACTCCGCCGGCACGGCACAGACCGGCACCGGGGCACCCTGGCACGGCACAGACCGGCACGGTGACACCCCGGCACGGCACAGACCGGCGCCGGGGCTTCCCGCAGCCACCAGGTCTCAGGTCCCCCCAGCACCGCCGTGTGCCCCAGGTGGGAGGTGCCCCCCCGGGAACCCCCAGACCCCTCCAGCCACTCACCTGCACCCCGCTGCCAGCCTGGCCCCTGTCCCCCAGCCTCACCACACCCCACGTGCTGGCACTGCCCACGTGCCACCCACAGCCACACAGCACAGCTCATCACCAGTGACACCTCTGTCACTCCCTGCGCCTCTCGTCCTCCTTCCTCTGCTAATTTCCATCATCCTGGGCACTGCTGTACCGGGCTGTGCCTCGCCACTGTCGTTTTCCTGTTATTGCCTCCCAAAACTCTGCCGTCCCCTCCATCCCTGCTGCCTGGGGTGCAGGGGAGTGGCCCGTCAGTGCCAGCGTGATGGCCACTGTGGGGACAGGGAACGGGCACCCCCAGGCCACCCTGTGGTGTTGCCATCACTGGCACTGCTGGGACCCAGCCCTGCAGTGGCCCTGGCCCTGGCCATAGAAGTCCCACCTGCCCAGGCACTGGGGCACCTGTCGGCTCTTTTGTGATTGCCAGTCTGTGCCACCTCCTGGTGGTGGGGACCCCATTTTGTGTCACCCTGTGAGCCCAGGGCAGTGGTGATGGGCCCTGACACGGGCCCACAGCAGCAGGGATGGCCTCAGGCTGTGGCCAGGACAAGCAGTGGCAGAAGGAGCAGCGTGGGGACAGTGGCCCCAAAACCTGCCAGGGTGCCCCACGGGCACCCATCCCACATCCGGGAGTGCGGTGCCAGGAGCTCTGCCTGCGGGCACACCTTCCCTGCCTGCCCTGCACCGCTGCCTTCCCACACAGCAGCCTGTGGTGTCACTGTCTCCCCGTGGTGTGCGTCAGCAGCCCCAGCTCTGGTGGCACTGGGTGGCAGCCACCCCCCTCCCCATTTTCCCCCAGGGAGGGGACGCCACAGCAGCCCCCAAAGGGGACTCCAGCCTGCATGGCGGGGACCAAACCCAGCAGGGCTCCCACTGGGGTTACTGTGGTGGTGACAAGGACCCGGCCATGCTGGTGACAAGCACCTGGCGAGCTCTCAGCCCCCCCAAGAGCTGCATTCCTCCTGAACCTGTTTGGCAGGGCCCTGTGCAGGTGCCAAAAAAAAAGGCATCCGGGTTGGGCTTTCCCTGGTCATGCCCTGCTTCACTCCAGTGCCGAGTCAACAAGGAGTGGGAAGGGTTTTCTGGAGCCTGGTGCCCCCACAGTGCTGCTGGTGCCCCCCAAAGTCACCCACGGCTCCCAGTGCCAATGGTGCCCCCCAGTTTCTCACCTCCCAGCAGGGATCCTGCAGAGGGTTGGGAAGGGGAAGAAAGAGGAGGCAGAAACCAGTGAAAAATGACCCAATTTAATCCCAAAGCCCCCTCAAGCCCCTCGTGGCCCCTCCAGCCCCCTGTGTGCAGCCCGTGGGGTCTGGGCTGAGCACACCCCTGGGTCACGCCCTGCCTCTGTGCTCCAGCACGGGGACAAGGAGCTCTCCGAGGCACCCGGCCTCTTCCTCAGCTCCGCCGGCAGCCCCGCACCGGCACCGGCACCGGCACCGGCACCGGCACCGGCACCGGCACTGACACCAGCACCGGCACCGGCACCAGCCATGTCCCACCGCCCCCAGCCCTGGCCACAGCCCTTAGGGAGGTGCCCTGAAAAAAACCATCCTGGTGGAGTAGACCAGGTCCACCAAGTAGGCGATGAGGTTGAAGATGGTGAGGAAGGTGACCCCCAGGTGCCTGTTCCACGGGCAGTCCGTGCCGCAGGGATCGGGGCGGCTCTTGCCCCTGAAATTGTAGAGAGGCCACATGATGGTGGCAGTGAGGTACATCAGCAGGGCCAGGAAGTTGTAGCCCACCAGCACCTTCTCCAGAGAGCAGGGAATGTAGGTGAGGCAGCGGCCGATGGTGAAGATGATGATGAGGAGGGTGAAGATGAAGCAGATGGAGTAGACAGCCAAGCACCACATCAGGCCAGATTCCTTATAGTTGTCCTGCAGCAAGGAGAAGATCAGGCAAGCCACATAGGTTTCAAAGACCTTGAGGAGCCCAGGCACGGTGGAGAGGAAGCTGCTGATGTCGCCGGGCTTGGCGCGGGTCAGCGACACCTCGGTGGCGTAGGCGAGGAAGCAGAGGCAGGAGGCGGCGGTGGCCACGGCCTGCCGGGCACAGTGGCTGCCGCTGCAGGAGCTGTCGATGAAGATGGCAGGGAACACCACCGAGGAGGTGAAGACCATCAGAGCGGCCAGCATGGAGAAAGCCGAGGTGAAGTCATCCCAGGAGAGCGGCAGCAGCGGGTAGAGCTCCAGCAGCTCCAGCAGCAGCACCAGCAGCGTCACGGCGAAGCAGAAGCACCAGGTGAACATGCACCACGTCCCGTAGGGACCCGCAAAGTCCCCGGTGGAGGCCACCAAGCTGAAGGTGAGGCAGGAGAGCACGAGGGCGAGGAGGCGGGCGATGCCCACCCAGGAGGTCAGGGCGCGGAGGTTCACCGTGGCCATGGTGCACGGCTGTGCCCGCGCCGCGCTGGGCACTGGCGCTGCCCGCAGCCTCTCTTATCCGGCTGCCGGGGAAGCGGGGTGGGGCGCAGGGCAGGGAGCCGCCAGCCCCCCCGAGCCGCCCGTGCCGAGGACCCCCGGCTCTGCCGCCGCTGCCGCCGCGCCGGTGGCTCTGGGGGCCGGCGGGTGGATCATTAACGGGGGCCGGGCAAAGGGCGGGCACGCTGCTGGGCCGGGGCGGGCAGGACGCCACCGTGTGCCACCGTCCTGGCAGCGAGCCCCGGCCCTGCCTGCCGCAGGAGGTACAAAAGGGCTTTTTGTGCAACCCTAGAGTACCGGGAGGGGCACCCCGACACCTTGACAGGTACCAGGGCTTGGCAGCCAGCGGGGCAGCACCCACTGGGTCCCCCTGAGGGGTTTAGGGGCTGCACCCGTGCGGTGCCCCTGGCAGGGGGATGCCGCAGCTGGGTGTAGCCCCTTCACACCCTTGTGGGCACACCTCCACACCCCTCGGCACCTCCGCTCCGCTCCCCTCCCGGCACCTCCGCCACCTGATAAGGGTCTCAAAGTCCAGCTGTGCCAGCTGCCGCGCTGGGCAGGGCGGGTGAGGTGGCCAGGAGGAGGGCATCTCCACCCTCGTCACACCCCACAGGCAGCACCTCCATTTCCCCAGCGTGCCTGGGGGAGCCACAGCAGCCAGAGCAGCACAGCAGAGGGGTGGCACATCAAAAGCTGGGAGTCCAACAGGAGCGTGAAGGCTGAAGGCTCTGGATTAACCTTTAATGTCACACAGGGTCCGGGGGTCTGTGCCCATGGCAGAGCCTGGGGACGAGGGACACATGTCAGGGCAGCTGGGCACTCTAGGGGGGTTCACCCCAGGCAGGTTCCTGGCACAGCCATGGTGGGCAGGGGTGGGCACTGCCATGGGGTCCAGTGGTGGTCTGGGGGCGCTGGGTGGCTCAGAGGTGGCTGCTGGCCTCGCCCTTGCCGGGCAGCCCATTGAGGGGGCTCAGCCCCGGCCCGTTGCTCTCGTTCAGCCGCCGCACGCGGTAACTCTCGTAGTGGACGTTGTGGGTGATGTCCTTCAGGTCCTGCAGGTGCGACCTGCCCGGGGTGGCAGGGGGAGGAAAGCCATCATGTCACTGTGCCCCCCACCCTGCTGTCACCCCGTGGGGGTCCAGCACTCCCCACCCTGTCCCCCGCTCACCGGATCAGCAGGTCCCGCAGGAGGGGGAACTCGCAGTGTGCTGGGTTCTCCACTGCAAGGCAAGGCAGAGGGGCAGGCTTGGCACGAGGGCTCGGTGGTGCTGGGATGCCTGGGCAGCACCTCCTGGCACGCTCTGGGTACCACCAGAGCACAGCACAGCCCCGTGCCACCTGCCATGGCTCGGCACCCACCCAGGCAAGGACACCCCGTGGGTGCTGCTCCCTGCGCCCGCGGGGGCTGGGCTGTGAGGGGTCTGCTCACCTTCAATGATGCCCCACTTGGTCTTGCGGCCCAGCACCCGCTTGCCGTTCACCTGGTGCTCCTGGTCTGCCCCCACCACGGCAAAGGGAATCTTCTCCTGCCAGCAGAGGCTGTGCTTGCCCCGGGTGCTGCTCCCCAGGGGTCCCCAGGGTCCCTGTCCCCCCCCTGCCCCCCAGGGGCTGGCCCCTCCGTCCCTGCACCCCGGCACTCACACGAATCCTGTCGTTCAGGGCCCTGTCTTCGGGGTCCTGGTCGAAGTCCTCCTGCGGGTACACGCTGATGGCGTGGGTCTTCAGGTCCTCCTGGATCTGAGGGACACAGGGCTTGAACCGGGGCTGGGGGCCATGTGGGGCAGCCCAGGAGCCCACTGGGGGCCTGTCCTCACCCTCTGCTTGAATTCTGCCCGTTCCTCCAGGGTGAGCGTGTCGGCTTTGGCGATCACCGGCACCACGTTGACGATCTTGCTGAGCCGCCGCATGAACTCCAGGTCCAGCGGGCGCAGCCTGACAAGGGCCACCGTCACTCCAGGCTGTCCCCACCTCTGTCACTGGGGGGTGGGTGACCCCACCACTACCACCCCAGGGTCGCTCGGAGGTGACCCCAGCACCATCACGCTGAGGGACTTCCCCACTACCACCCCAGGTTGATACCTTATCTCTGTCACCCTGGGGTGACCCCACGGTGACACAACCATGTCACAGTGACCACCTCGCCACTGTCACCAATGGGGTGACCACACCACTGCCACTCCAGAGTCACCCTGAGGTTCTTCCACTACCATCGCCTCAGGGTGGGGTTATCACCCCAGCCTCCACCACCATCACCTCAGGGTGACTCCACAACCATCATCTCAGGGTGGCACAGCCACCCCACAGTGACCACCCCGCCACTGTCATCCATGGGGTGACCACACCACTGCTACTCCAGAGTCACCCTGAGGTTCCTCATCATTCCATCATTATCACCCCAGCCTCCACCACCATCACCTCAGGGTGACTCCACCACCATCATCTCAGGGTGGCACAACCACCCCGTGGTGACCCCCTCTCCTACGGGTGCTGTGAGTGGGGACTCACCAGTGACCTGTTGGGGGGACAAAGTAGACGCATCCATGGACGCGGGTGTCCGGGATCTTCCTCTTGCGGGTGATGAGGATCTCCTCCCTCAGGTATCTCTCGTACTGCTCGTTGATGTATTTGATGATGGGGTCCCAGCTGAGGATGAGGAGTTGAGGCACAGCACCTGAGCTCAACCTCTACCCAAACTGCCCCCAGCCGAGCTGGGCTCCCGCTCCCCATTGTGTCCTACCAGTTCTCATTGTTGATCTGGTCCCCAAACCCTGGTGTGTCGGTCACCGTCAGCTTCATCTTCACCCCCTTCTCCTCGATGACTGTGGGGTACACGCATGGGTCAGGGGGGAAGGAACATTGGGGAAAAGCAGGGGACCAGGCATGGGGGATGTTTGAGGCTGTGAACGCAGCTTCAGAGCCCAGCCCAGTCCCCTGCCTCTCCCAAGGGCTGGTGGGACACGCTGCGTGGTGGTGACCTTACTGTGGGTGATGGACTGGAGTTGCACTGTTTTGGGAATACGTTCCTCCTGGCCGGGCTGGGAGGATTTGCGGCTCACCTTGGACTTGAAGAGGGTGTTCACCATCGTGGACTTCCCCAGCCCGCTCTGCCCTGAGGGGACACCAGCAGCTCTGGTTTGTCCCCAGGGCAGTAACATCTTGATATCCACTTGGGAGCAACCCAGAGTTTGGAACAACTCTGGTTTATCCCCAAATAAATTTCTTCCCCAAGGCAGTAAGTCCTTGGTATCCACTTGGGAGCATCTCAGAGGTTGGGATAATCCATTTTATCCCAGGAACATATTTATTCCCCAAGGTCACAATCCCTGGTACACATCTGGGAGCATCCCAGATTGGGCTAGTCTGGTTTAATCTTCCAAACAAATTTATTCCCCAAGGCGACAGCCCCTCAGCATCCATTTGGGAGCATCTCAGAGGTTGGGATGAGCTCACCTACCAGCATGACTATGCTGTGTGGTAGGGGATATTACTCATTTTCAATTGTTTGCTACTTAAATCAGTTTAAAATCACTTATATTTCCTTAAAATCCCTTAAAAGCATGATTTCCCTTGGCATGGTGGAATCAGAGCCAGTATTCCCTCCCCACCCAGGAGCAAACCCGACGCCCAGTGCTCACCCACAACCATGATGTTGAACTCAAAGCCTGTCTTCATGGTTTTGATTTTCATCTGGTCGAGCACAGCTTCGATTCCCACGTATCCGAAGAGCTGGCAGCCCACGGGGCCGGGCGCCATGGAGAGGGGCACCGCCCCCTCCTCCTCCTCCTCCGGCACGGCCGGCGGCTCCATGCTGCGCTCCTCGGGCTCCAGGCTGCTCCCTGCACCGCGGGGTGGGCAAAGGCGGTGAGCCTGGACCCCTGGGTGCCCACCCCGCGGTGCCCACCCCTGCGTTGCCCCAGCAGCGGCCGTGCCGGCGGGCACGCAGCCCCGGCACATTCCCGGGAGCCGGGGAGGCTCGGCATGGCAACGGGGACACGCCACCCCCGCCGCGAGAGAGGCTCCCAGGAGCTGCCAGGGGCATCTCTGGGGTGGTCGTGCCACCGGACCCCACGATGCCACAGGCTGCCCTGAGACCATCGGGCACCGTGGCCGCGGCCAGCAGCACCTTTGCCCAGCCCCTTCTGCCCCGCACCCTTTGCCCAGCCCCCGCGGCCACCCGCGCCAGGCGGCACCGCGCCGGTCCCGGCACAGCCGGGGGGCTCCGGCCCCAGGGCAGGACGTGCCACCCCACATTGTGCCCAGGCACTGGGCACCGCCGGGCGGGGGCACCGGGGGTGCAGCGCAATCCCCGGCACAACCCCGAGCCCCAGGGGACACGTGGGGGTCCCCTGGGGACGGTGCCCGGAGCGTGCCCTACACCGGGGGCCACAGGAGCCCCGTGCCCGCCCCAGCCCTTTGTGCGGCAGCGCCAAATCCCTTTCTTCCTCCTCCTCCTCCTCCTCCTGCTTCCCAGCACGGCCATTGTTCGGGTCCTACCTCGGCGCCGCGGTGCCCTCGCTCAGCGCCCCGCTAGGGCCGGGGGGGTCCCCGGGGCGCCGTCCGCATCCCCGTCCCCATCGCCGGCGGCGCCGCAGCCCGGCCCCTTCCCTCCGCCGGCTCCCGGCTGGCACCAGCCCCGCTCCGCCGAGGCTGCGGCTCCCACGCATGACCAGCATGGCAACACCCGCCCCCCGCAGCCCCCTCCCCACCGCAGCCGAGCCCCTGCGCCCAGGTTGCCGATGGGCTGGCGGGTGGGGAGGGCTGTGCCAACCCGGCTCTGCCCACCCCGCTGTGCCCCCCCCGGAGCATGGCACTGCTCGGCCTCCCAGCCGGGCCAGCATGGATGGGGACCCCTCCCATGGCACAGGACACCCCCAGTCCTCACTTTGTCCCCATCGCCCCCTGAGAGGCCCAGCCAGCACTGAATGGCACTGAATGGCACTGAATGGCAGCGGGAGGGCTTGGCCGTGGGTGCGATCCCCACGGGCACCCACGGGCACCGGGGACCGCCCGGCACCGTGCCCCCCGCCCCCCCAGCAGCACCTGTGCCCGGTCCCGGCACGGCGGGGTAGGACAAGGGGTGGTGGCCCTGCCACTCGCCCCACTGCCGCAGTGCCCCACGGCGCTTGCGTCCCCCCACGCCGCAGCCTCCCCCGTATGTGCCAGCCGGCGCTTGGCACCGGCGAGGCTGGAGCGGCAGCTTGCGATGGCCCAGGCTGGGAGGGACCTGCTGAGACCGCGTCCGTGTGCCACGCAGCCAGGGGACAAGGGGCACGTGGGCAGGGGCCGGCCTGAGCCAGCCCGGGGTGCCAGGAGATGATGGAACTGAACACCCCCATTGCCATGGCAACGGCATCCCGGCGTGGGAGCCACCCAGCACCCTGTGCCCAGTAGGTGCCAGAGTGGTGGCAGGCTTGGGGACAGCACTGTCGCATGTCCCAGCTGCCCCTGCGCCCCCTGGGTCGGGATGTTCCTCGGAAGTGGTGAAACAGCCGCGGATTTCCTGGTGACAGCGGTGACACCCGGCGGGGGGGGCTGGGGGAGGGCAGGATGCTCACCCTGCGGGGATCCACCCACCCAGCACGGTCCTTCCCAACGGGGACAGCCACAGGCTGGCAGCGACGTGGGATGGGAAGTCCCCATCAGGGAGAGGACCCCGACAACGACTGCAGCCCTCCTCCCCGGCAGACATCGGCCCCCCGTGCCCCCAGCCTGGCACCCCTTCCCAGTCCCTGCCGGCCTTGGCAGCTGCCAGGACAGATCCAGAGCCAAGCGGTGCAGCCACTGGAGCCATCCCGGGTGCTGGGCACTGCAGGCAGGGAGCAGCTGGGATACCCAGGGTGCTGGGCACTGCAGGCAGGGAGCAGCTGGAATTTGGTGCTTGCACCCCCCGGCTCTCCGGGGTGGTCCCCAGGGTGCAGCCCCCACAGAGGGGCTCAGCCACTGCCCTGTGCCCTGCCAGGGCCAGCACCAAGGAGACAGCCACAGCCAGAGGCACGTCCGGGGTGACATTGGGGGCTGCACCCACCGCTGCCTCCCCCGGGGCTCCAGAGCCCCCCGTGTCCCTGCCCTCAGTGCCAAAAAGCCCCGCTGCTAATGGCCAGCAGCCGGGTGGCCACGTGGAAGCTCTCGGCATCCCCACGGAGCCCCGGGGCAAGTGGCTCCTGCAGCCAGACCTGTTCCAGGACTCATCACGGATGCTCTTATTTTCCAGACAGGGACAAGTAATCCCGGGTCCGTGGTCTCCTCCATGGATTTAATTACCGATGCAGGGTTAATTGGCCAGTTCCCCGGGAAGCCTGTAATAAAGCTTCAAGGGTGGAGGGTGCTGGGAGTGGATGAGCCGGGACAGGAGCTCTCTGTCCGGCTGCTCACCACTGCTCCAAACCGAGCAGCCGGGCACGGGATGGGGACAGCCGGGCACGGGATGGGGACAGCCGGGCACGGGATGGGGACAGCCGGGCACGGGATGGGGACAGCCTGGCTCTGGCTCCAGCACGAGGGAGCTGACACCTCTGGCAAAGGGACGGAAGCTTTGGGCATGCACCCACCGCCCCGGCCACACCACAGCTCTTCCTGCCCTGCCGATCTGACCCAGAAACACCAGTGCCTCTCCCAGTGCCAAACACGACCTAAGGGGACAGTGGTGACAGTCCCCATCTGCAGCCAGACCCGGAGCCAGCCCGTCCGTCTGGCCGTGGGAGCCACGGGACGGGGCTGGGGTGGCTGGGGACCGTCGGTGAGGAGAAGCAGAAGTGAACCATGGAGCGAAACCCTGCGCCTGCAGCGCTGCTGGGGACAGGGGACAAGTCACCCAGCCCCGGTGGCAGCTCCCTCTGCCCGCACGCCGCCCTGCCCGCTGCCACCACGCCATCCCTACCTGGGCGAGCCGGCCGGAGCCGGGGCTGCTGCCGCCGAGAGCTGGTCACCGGGGCCAAATGGCTCCTGGGGTGCGAGGCAGAGGGCGGCTGCTGCCCACGGAACCTCCTCCGCTCCTCCTCCTCCTCCTCCTCGCCCCGGGCCCTGCGTGGGCGACCCGGCGTGGAAGTGAAATGCGGCGGCCGGGGCTGGCTGGGAGCTTCCTCCTGCGGGGCGTGGGACCCACCGCGCCACGGGGCCCGGGGCCACCCACGGGTGTCAGCGCTGGGGGCCGGGGGGGCCTCCGGGAGAGGAAACAGCCCGTTCCCACCTCTTCCTGGCAGAGAAACCGCTGTGCCCGAGCGGTGTGTGCCAGCCCCCTGCCAGTCCCGGGCCATCTGCAGGGCAGCCGGTGCCACCCGCTGCCCGCTGGCTCGTGTGTCCCCCCAGGCTGGGCTGCCGGCCACCACCACGGCTCTGTCCTGAGCATGTCCCCTCATCACCCTGGCTCCATGTCCCCATTTCCCTGTCACCCCAGCTTGCTCCTGAGCACCCTGTCCCTGTCACAGCCCTGAGCACTGTCCCTTGTCTCCCTGTGACCCTGGCTTGTCCCCAAGCACCGTGTCCCTATGACCCCAGCTCAGCCCTGAGCAAAACTGCATCACCCCAGCTTGGTCCTGAGCACCGTGTCCCTGTCACCGCCTGTTAGCCCTGAGCACTTTTCCTTTGTGCCCCCATCAGCCTGGCTTGGCCCAAGTACGGTGTCCCCATGTCCCTGTCACCTTGGCACTGCCCCAAGTTCTGTCCCTTCGTGTCCCCATCACTCCTGACTCAGGCCTGAACACCACATCCTCGTCCCCATCACCCGGCTCAGCCCTGAGCTCTGCTCCCCCGTGTCCCCATGACCCGGCTCAGCCTCGAGCTCTGCTCCTCCGTGTCCCCATGACCCGGGCCGTCCCCAGCCCCATCCCTGGCCCGGGGAGGCGCGGGCAGCCGGGCTGGCTGGGCAGCAGGGCCACGGGCACCGCCGGGGGCTGATTCAGCGCAGATGTATGGATGCCTTCGCCGCGTCAGTACTTAGGGCCCGGCCACGGCGGCTCCGCGACAGCGCAGCGAGACGGGCAGAGCGCCCCGAGCACCCAGCCAGGGAGCAGCGGCGGTGGCGGCCGTCTCCGGCCACCGCGGCGCCCTCCGGCCCTCCCGGAGCAGCCCTGGGAAGGGCACTTGGTTACCCCCTCCCCAGGCCTGGGGACGGGCACGGGCTTGGCACGGCGGGAGCCGGGGGCACAGCCGTGCCGGGAGCCGGGCTCCGCTGCCCGCGGCACCGGGCGCACGCCGAGCACGCCCCGGCGCTCCTTGGCCCCCCGCCACCTCCCGCGCCCCGCGGGGAGGGAGGAACAGGATCCAGCCCCGTGCCAAGCCAGCAGGGATGAGAGGGGAAGAAAGCGCTGGACGCGGGACAAGATCGCGGCGATAGGCGGCACGCGCGGGGCCGGCCGATGGGGCACATGTGTCCCGACCTGTCTCCGCGCCGGGAGAGCAGTGAGCGCCGGGGCGGAGCGGGCGGCTCGCCAGGCACCGCGGGGACGGGCGGGCCGGGAGCGCTGCCAGCGCCGCGCTCGGCTCCCGGCCCCCCGCAGCCAGCGGGCCCCGGCGCGGGGAGCAGCGAGCTGGCGGCGCGCCTGTCCCCAAAGTCGCCGTCACCCCACGCTTTTCCCGGCTTCGGCTCGTGCGGGGTTTTGGCAGCGCTGCGCCCGCCGAGGGGGCCCCGACGGAGAGAGGGACGGGGACAAGAAGAAGTCCTACCGTGCTCCGGCGTCACCGCCGCCCCGCTGCCGTCCGCAGCCTGGTCGGGAGCCGCTGCCACCACGCAGGGTCCCCGCGGTGCCATCTGCCCGGGCGCTGCCGGCGTGCCCCAGGGGTGCCCCAGCACCAGCCCCCCGAGGAAGGCGGGCTGCGAGCTCACTTGCACCGTCTGCGGCTGCGACACCAGCCTGAAGGTGGCGGCCTGGGGGGCTGGCAGCGCTGGCGGCCCCTCGGCCCTGCCCTCGGCCGGGGCCGCCTCCCCCTGTCCCCGGGGCTGAGCGGGGGCCCGGCGGGACGGGAGGGGGCTGGCGCTCAGGGTGACCCTCCACGGCCGGGACACCGTGCGGGGAGCCGCGTCCCACCCCCCCGGCCCCTCGGGGAGCGGGGGCAGCCCCGGGGCTGTCTCTGTGCCATCGTGCGGGGGCAGGGCGGAGGAGGAGGGTGAGGAGGAAGGCTGGTGGGCGCGAGGCTGGGCTGCAGAGCTCTGCGTGCCCCACGGCGTCCCCAGGCCCGGCTCCTCGGCGATGTGCAGGTCCAGCGCTGGCAGGGAGCCGTGGCTGGCGGCGGCCCCGCGGAGGGGATGGTCCAGCTCCACCGGGAAGACGCAGCCGTGGGACGGGACCTTCTTCAAGCCGGGGCTGGCGGCCGGGGGGCTGCCCGGTGCCTGCGGGGGCCCGGTGGGCGCGGGGCTCTCCAGGCTGGAGGATGAGCTGCGCTGGCTCTCCCCGTCGCTGCCCGGCCCCGTGGCCAGGGCCTGGCGGCTCTGGAAGGAGGCGGCGCGGGCGATGCCGGTGCCGTTGGCTCGGCCGGTGGCCAGGCCGGTGCCGAGCCGGGAGCGCAGCACGGGGCTGGGCACCGGGCTGGGGCCGGGGCCGCCGCCCAGGCGGGGCGGGTGGCCGCGCTGCAGCGGCTGGTGGCTCTCGCCTGAGGACAGCAAGGAGCCGGGTGCCTCGTCCCCATCTTCTGCCTCAAACGACTTCTTGAGCGCTGGGGACGGAGAGAGAGATGGTGGCACCAGAGTGGTCCCCGATGGCACCCGTCCCCTGCCCAGCCCCATGTGTGTCCCCCCACCACCCAGAGGTGCCCCCTGATTATGAGCCCGTCCCACCGAGGAGCCCAGCCCGGCGCCAGCTCCTCCCCAGCCCTGCGGCGCTGTCCCCGAGGGTTTTATCATTGTTCCCCGGTTGATCTGGCCGGTGCCGCCGGCTCCCCTCGCAGCACACTGCCCGCTTTATTCCCCCTGAAAGGGATCCGGCCGAGTAACCGGATCCCCGCCTGACCCTCTCCCCCTGCATCCATCCCGGCACCCGGGCAGGATTCCTGCCCCTTCCCGGGCCTTAACCCTGGAGCCCGCGGATGGCAGGGGGCCAGCGCCATCGCCACGCTCGGGGACTGTCACATCCCGTTCTGGTGGCTCCTGCTGCGCCTCCCACGTGGCTTCACAGCGGCCACGGGCCCGCGGCACAGCCCCGGGTGCCAACGTGCCCCACACGGGCCCCTCGGCTCCCCGGGGTACCGCAGCTCTGGGGCCGGTGCAAAGCTCCTGCTGTGCCCGCCTGGCACAGGATGGGGGACCGACCCCACGGGGTGACCCCCGGGAACCCCCGCGGTGCAGCCGCCCCCTCCTGCCCCCCAGCCCCGCCGGGGGCTCCCCAGGAGCTGCCCGAGGGCTCCGCACGGTGCCGGCAGCCGGGGAGGGCGGGGGGCCCAGGTTCCCCCAGATCCTCGCTGCCAAGAGCCGAGCGGCTGCTGCCCCCGGGGGCTCCGTGGGGCGGCCCACGCTGCGCCCCTGCATCCTCTCCGTGTGCCAGCCTGTCCCGGCACCCACCCATGGCACCCGCCCGCCCTCACCCTCCTCTTCCTCAGGCGCGGTGCGGGGGCGGCGGGGTGCTGAGGGTCCAACCCTGTCCCTCAGGGGTCGACCCCTCCCCCGTGCCCCTGTGCCCGGGGCGGGGCAGGGGTCAGAGGCCGGGGTGCGGGCGCTGCCGATCACAGCTCTCCCCAGGGCAGGTAATTCCGCGGCCGGTCCAGCCCTGCCCCAGCGGCCGGGCTGCCGGGGGCCAGGGGTCACAGGGTCGGCGACCCCCTCCCCACATCCACGTCTCTGCTTGGTTACCGCCCAAAATGCCTCCTTTTACCCCAAAGCTGCCTCTGGCTCTGACCCAGCCTCACCCAGGTGTCCGGAGTGATGGGCGGGGGGCAGCGAGGGGACGCAGGGCAAGGTGGGGGTGGCAGGCGCTTGGAGGGTGGCAGAGGGCGAAGGGGGGTGGCAGGAGGTTTAGGACGGATGGGGGATCGGGAGGATGGCAGGGGGTGAAATTGGGGTATCAGAAGGTGGAGGGGGAGATGTTGAGATGGGGCTGCAGGAGGTTTAGGGGGTGGCAGGGCGCTCGGGGGTGGTGGGAGGTAAAGGAGCGGTGCCAGGAGGTTCAGCGGGGGCTGGGGGGGATGTGGGGTTTGGCGGGGGCTGAGGGGTGTCAGCCGGCAGCGGCGGGGTTAAGGTGCCCGGGGTAGGTGCACACATTCCTCCCCGGCGAGGGCAGCAGCAGCCCCGGGGTCGGGTTTCGCCTCCCGCCCCCGGCCCGGCCCCGGCCCCGCCGCAGCCCCCGGCCCGCGGGCAGAGCGCGCACACGCGGGGAGCGCGCACGGGGACACCGCGGGCTCGGGGGGGTCCCGCACCTTCCCCCGCTCCTGCAGCCCCGGTCGCCCCCTGGCCACCCCACAGCCGCGCCCCCCAGAGCAGCCCCGCATCCCCGGGCTGGGGGCAGAGCAGCCCCCCTCGATGCCCAGCCCTGGGGCCACCCCCCGTCCCCACGATGTGCAGCCCCCGGGGGCATCAGCCCCCGCCCCAATACCCATCCCCCGGAGGGGAGCGCAGCCTCCTACGGCGCTGAGACCCCGGGGAGCCCCCAGGCCCCCCAAGATGCGCAGCTCAGCATCCCCCCCAGTCCCAGCCCCCGCCATGCTCAGCCCAGACCAAGATCCCCAGCCCAGCAGCAGCCAAACCCCCGCACCGAACCCCAGTGCCCGCTGCTCCCCCCTTGGGGACACCCCAGGCCCCCCAAAAAGCCCAGCCAGCAGCATCGCCCCCAAAATCAGCCTCCGGGCCGGGGGAGGGCAGCCCCCCACGATGCTCAGCCCTTGGGGGACACCTGCGCCCCCCAAGACGCCCGGACAGCGGCGTTCCCCCCCGGGGACATCCCCCGCTCCTCCCACGGCACCCCCGCTCCTCCCGGCCCCGAGGGGGGGTCCCGGGGGGCCGCACCTTCGAAGTCGGAGAGGATCCCGTCCAGGTGCTCCTTGACCGAGAGCCGGGCCATGGCGGGCCGGGGGGCCGGGGCTGCCGCCCACCCGGGACCCCCGCAGGCGGAGGGGGCAGCGCGGCCGAGCCCACCGAGCCCCGGGACGGGACGGGCCCGCAGCTCCGCCGCGCCCGCCCGGCCCGGGGCGCTGGGAGGCGGCAGCCCCGGCCGGGGGTCCCGGGCAGCCTGGGGGTCCCGGAGAGCCCCGGGGGCAGTTCCTGGCCAGGCTGGAGGGCTCCCAGGAAGGCTGGGGGGCCCCGGCGGGCTGGAGGATACCAGGCAGGCTGGAGGTTCTGGAGAGGCGGGGAGGGAGCCCGGCCAGACTGGGGGTCCCGGGCAGGCTGGGGTGCCCTGCCAGGCTCCAGGGGCTGGGGGTTCCAAACGGCCTGTCCTCCCCAGGTTCTGCATCGCCGGGAATTCCCAGTTTCGAGCAAGAGGAGGAAAATGGTCTGGAGCAGGCAGGGCGGCTGTCGCTGTCTCCCGCTGGGTGTGGGGTCTGCTGCGGGGTCACCTCCCTCCGGTGTGTCCCTGCCGGGGCTGGAGCATCCCTGGGACTGCGCTCCCCGCGGCCACCCCGGTGCTCTGCCCGCGGCGAGTCCCAGGGCTCAGGGCTGCCCCCAGCCCGGCTGCCAAGGGTTAACCCATCCCAGCCCGGCCGGGGTCGGCAGCAGATGGGGAGGGGGAAGGAGCTGGAAATGCCTGCTGCACACAGAGCAACCCCTTCCCTGCAGCACAGCCCCTCGTGTGGGCTGGAGCACATTCCTGCCCCGCATGGGGACACGGCCATGGCGCCCTGCAGGAGCCAGCCCTGCGTGGGGACACAGCACAGGGACCAGGGCACGTGGGACATCATGGTGGCCTTGGTCGTGGCTGGGCTTTGGGGACATTCAGAAGTGCCACTGGCCCATAGAACCACAGGATTATTGTGGCTGGGAAAGTCCTCTGAGATCATGGAGTCCAAATGTCCCTCAGCACTGCCAAGTGCCACATCCACATCTTCAAACCCCTCCAGGGATGGTGACCCCACCACTGCCCTGGGCAGCTGTGCCAGTGCCTGACAACCTTTTCTGTGAAGAAATTCTCCCAATATCCAACCTAAACCTTCCCTGGCACAACCTGAGGCCATTTCCCCTTGTCCTGTTCCCTGGAGCAGAGCCCGACCCCCCCGGCTGTCCCCTCCTGTCAGGAGCTGTGCAGAGCCACAAGGTCCCCCCTGAGCCTCCTTTTCTCCAGGCTGAGCCCCTTCCCAGCTCTCTCAGCCCCTCCTGGCCCTTCCCAGCTCTGTTCCCTTCCCTGGACCCCTCCAGGTCCTTCTGGCCATGAGTGGCCCAGACCTGTCCCCAGCCCTGGGGCTTTGTCACCGTGCTCAGCCCCCCCAGCTGGGTGGAAGGGCCAGAGCTGGGCTGGGCTGGGACCAGCTCTGGAGCTGTTCTGGGCATGCAGAGACCTTCAGAGCTTTAGGACTTTTCTGGAGCAGTTTTGAAAAGGCTGGAGAGGTTTTAAGCCATGCAGAGCCCTTTTCAGAGGAGCAGAAGAGCTGGAGGAGCAGCCCTGATTATTTTTTCATGAGTTTTTGAGAAGCTTTGGAGTTGTTCTAGGGTTGCCTGTGCCCCTCTGATGTCGTTCAGAGGGGGTTTAGGGTAGTTGCAAACTGAGTTTAGAGATGTTATTAAAATTTTTAACTCTTTTGAGAGCACATGAAGAAGGTCCAGAGGGTTTCAAGGCCTTTTGGAGGCTGTTGGGGCACTTGAGGAGTTTCACAGCTGCACAGAGGAGGCTTTGAGAGCTTCAGAGCTGCCAGGAGACCTTTCCTATGATCCATTTTGAGCTATTTTGAGGAGTTTCAGAAAAGTTTAGAGGGCTTCAAGTGCTGCTTCGAGGCAGTTTGAGCATCTTGGTGCCTTTCAGGGCTGGTTGGAGGAGCACAAGAGCTGTTTGAGCAGTTCAAGTGGTTCAGTAATGGCCAGAGCTCCATCCTTCCAGAGCCTGAGCTGCTCAGAAGAGATTTACAGCTCCTTGAGGCAGCCCAGCAGCACAGAAATACCCCCAGAGCTATTTACCCACCCCATTTCTAGAGCAGCTTCGAGATGTTGGAGGTTGAGATTTCAGAGGGATTTTTAAAAGGAGGTTTTAGAGGTGTTTAGGGAAACCTTTGGTGCACTCTAGGGCTGCTTGCAGGGAGTAGAGCAGTTGGGAATGCTGCAGAGCTGATTTACAGATGCTCAGGGATGCTTTGGAGGTGCTCAGAGATGTTTTAGGCAGCTCAGGGATGGTTTAGGGCAGCTCCACGATGTTTCAGAGGTGCTCAAGGATGCTTAGGACAGCTCAGGGACAATTTAGGGCAAGTCAGGGATGGTTTTAGAGCAGTTCAGAGACACTTTAGAGCATGTCAGGGATGTTTTGGAGGAGCTCTGGGATGGTTTTGGGCAGCTCTGGGATGTTTTATGCAGCTCAGGGATGTTTTGGAGGAGCTCTGGGATGGTTTTGGGCAGCTCTGGGATGTTTTATGCAGCTCAGGGATGTTTTAGAGCATGTCAGGGACTTTTTGGACCATGTCAGGGATGTTTTGGAGCAGCTCTAGGATGTTTTGGAGCAGCTCTGGGATGTTTTGGAGCAGCTCTGGGGATGTTTTGGAGCCTCAGCGCTGCCCTGAGCACCATGGAGCAGGCTGGAGCAATCTGGGGGGTTTCAGAGCTCTCAGGGTGTGTCAGAGCTTTCCCAGCTCCGTGCTGCAGCTCAGGGCTGCCCGCAGCAGTTCAGAGGAACAGTCTGGAGCCATCCGGAGGCACGGCGGGAGCTGGGAGGGGATTTTGCACGTTCGGGCCCTTTGGGGCGGCTTAAAAGGGGTGGGGAGGGGTGGAGGAGGCTTAGAGGGGTGGGGAGCAGCTTAGCAGGGAGGTGAGGGCGTTTAAGGGATTTTTGGAGCAGTTCAGAACAGCCGAGGGCTCCGAGGGGGGTCTCCCGGAGCGGAGGGAAGGAAAGCTCCGTGTTCCTGCCTGGAGCAGACCCAGAGTCCCTGTCCCAGCCTGCCCCGTCCCTGGGCAGCAGGATCAGCTCCCGGGGTCCCACCTGGATCCTCCAGGAAGGTGAAGGGGGAATTCCCCCATTCCCACCCACACAGCTTGGCTGGCTGGGGAGATCTGGCTCCCTCTGACCTTGATCCCTCTGGAATCAGCAGGGTCCAGCCTCCCTCATCCTCATCCTCATCCTCATCCTCATCCTCATCCTCATCCTCATCCTCATCCTCCCAAATCAGGGCTTTCCTTGGTGCAGGAGCATTTCCACTCAATCCAGCCCCACGGGAGATCCAGCACTTGGATATTGGGGATGCTCCAACCCAGCACTGGGATCCTCAGGATGCTCCAATCCACCTCTGTGGAAACAAAGTCTCTGGGCAGGAATAGTAACAGCTTTTAATCCGACAAGAATTGATACATCAGTTAAGACAATACCGATTTTGCCTCTTTTTTGGGAGACTTCCTTCACATACCGGTTGGGAAAGAGGAACATTTTCAGGATGTACAGTTTTTGTTTTTGTTTTTCTCTCTCCATAGGGACTTTAAAGCATGGTGAATGTGCAAGTCAGTGCTTTTTGTTTGCTTAAAACTTTTTTTTTCCCGGTGCTTATTTACAGTTACAGTACCTCTGTGAGAGCGACAGGAAAAAACAAACGATTGTTTGAGACCTGGGGATCCGGGATCCCCGGTCGAGAAAGGCAGATCTCCAATATTTATATATTTATACATATATATATATATGCTTTTGTGTATACACAGATACATTTCTCTCTTCTTTTAAAGTATTAAAAAAATGGATCAACCTTCATTCTATAAAAATACCTACTCTACAAGATAGAAAAATTTTCCCTCTCCAAGTATACACTGATTTACACCCAAAGCTTCTCTGGAAATGTACATTACGTGGCTTCTTCCTGCGGCCTCGGGGCAGGGAGGGAGGGCTGGGGTGCAGGAGCTGCCCTGGGCTTTGGGGCTCCCCCTGACCCCGCTGCTCTGTGGGAGCAGCCCCCAGAGGTGCCGTGGCCGTGGCCCGGCCGCTGTCCCCACAGGGCCACCCCGAGGGCTGGAAGGGGCTTGGGGGGAGCAGGACCCCGGGATTGCTGTGGCTGCTGCTTCCAGGCCGTCCTGGCATTCCTAAAACCTGACGAGCAGGAAGAGGAACCGCGGGCTGAAGCCGATCCCCGGGAGCCCCGAGGAGCAGGGGGGGACAGCGGCCACTGCCGGGGCCACCACGGCCGCTTGTGCCAGCAAGCCCAGAGCTGTCTGGTGTAAACATGGCTTTTGTTTCCCAGGGAGCTGCGGGTGTTCTCCAGCTCCCCTCCCATCGGCACAGAGATTCCAGCCCCGGCCGGTGCCAGGGGTGAGGAAGAGCGCGGCTCCTGCAGCCCTGGCGCGCCCAGCAAGGGGGAGGCAGCCGGAGCAGGCTCTCCCTCCAGGGCTGCCGCTATCACCAGCAGAGCCCTGCTCCGCCTGGAATGGCACAGGCCACTGTCCCCAGGCTTCGGGAGGTGACCTGGGGACCGCGGGCCTCTCTGCTGCAGCTCCCAAAGCGCTGCGTGTCCCACCCAGGACGAGGAGGGGCGGCCAGGACCGGCTCCAGCGCGGGGTGAGGAGCTGCAGCCTTGCCCCGCGTGTCTGTCCCGGTGGGGACGAGTGACAGCTCCTCCCGGAGCCGCCTCACGGCAGAGCCCGGCAGAAGAGGAGGGAGGAGGAGAGTGGAGCCGGGATGCCGAGACGTGCCGACAGTACTGAGCCACGGACAGCAAAAATAAATAAGGAGGCAGGTGACCGAGTGTGCTCACGCCCTGTCCCCACAGCCCCGGCTGCCCCCGCAGCCACCGCGGGCTCTGCACGCAGCCGGCCCCAGCCGGAGCACGGGCAAGGATGGGCTGAGCCAGCTGGATGAGGCCATTTGCATTAAGTTAATTAAAAAAAAACCCAAAACCCCAAAGCAAAACCAAACCCCAACGCTGTGCGAGTCCGGGAGGCGCTTCCCTGGCTCCCAGCTCTGCCCGGTGAGTGTGTCAGGGACACTTTGGCACGGCGGATGCTCGGGCCGGGCAGGGCAAAGCCAGCGC